ATTGGAAAGCCAGACAGCAATGCCTGGATCTAATTTTTGCCACTTTGGAAGACAATAGAACTCTGAAAAACAGATTAAGTTAGGCAGATTAGCAAAGAGATAAGCTGGAGGACAGATGCCTGGTGCATTTCAAGCTAAACTGGGAAGGGGGGGCCAAGCAACGCTACTTGGAACAGCCTACAATGCCCTGAAAAAAGAAAAAAAATGTTTCAATCTGCACAATTTAATTCAATCTTGCAACACCTAGATTGTTTCATGTGCAGAATTTGATACAGCCCAACACTAAATCATACATCCTCCACAAATCCCAGTAGTTCTCCAGAAACAGATTCAGTCTCAACATCTCAATGCCTGCATTACCAGAAACAAGAAGAAAGGAAGCTCTTACTTCAGCTTGACAGATATGGGTGTGTGTGTGTGTGTGTGTGTGTGTGTGTTCAGGAAGTGCTTTCTAATGCAAGCAAGTGCCAACCTGTATTCCTAGACAGTGCACGCCCATCTGAAAGGGATATCCCACTCCTTCTGATTCAGAAGGTCTCAGGACCACATGCAATTCCTAAACCTCATTTCTGCAGCCTTTGTTTCTGCAGAAACAAAGAAAGCAAAAAAACTGTAGCATAAGCCCTAAAATAAGATTAACAGAGTTTGCTTTAATTTGGATTTGGTGGGAGGGCAGGTAGCGGACCAAATGATCCAAATGACTCTTTCCGACTTTATGAACCTAACAAAATTAAAGAGAAACCATTGGGGAAAAGTTGAAAAAACTAAGCACGCCCATGTTTGTGGAGTCATCATACACTGGTCTCATTGCATCACCCATTACAACCGTGTCTTGAGATTCTCAACACAAAATCCCACAAAATTACTGTTAAGTCATCATCTCAATTAGCAGTGCCTTGGCTGCATTCTGACATGTTCAGCCTGTTTTTAATCCTTAGAATTTATTAAGTTGTACAACACACGTGCACAGCTATTGGTACCAACCCTCCTTCCTTTCCGCTGAAATTCAGTGACATCCGCATACAATTTTAAGCACTTTGCAAGCTGCACATCCACAACATTAAGACGACAAAAGCATACCACAAGAGCGCTGCAGCAGGTGAAATTGCTTCCTTCTGGTCAATATCCTACGTGGCGGCAGCAGCATCTGGAATCAGTTTCCTTGTGAGTCTGAAAGATACAGTGTGATAAACTCCAACTCTGTTAGATCTCATGGGAGATTTAGAACTGGTGGGTTTTTCTTACCACCTGATCTGGAAGAAACCATGTGCAAAAAAGAATACAGATGTCACCACAGCTACATATGCCTAATCAACACAGAAACAGAGCTGGACTCAGGGGTTTTTTTGGGGGGGGGGATGGATGAGGCAAGATGCTCTGCATGAGCCTTCTCCCCATATTGCTGCTGCCATCACTGCCCATTCATTTGCCCTTCTTCTCTGTGCCAACTTACACAAGTTCAGGCAGGGTAAATGAGCAGGACCTGTTGCTCTTTGCTCCTATCAGTATTTCCTTCCTTAAAATAAACAAACAGGAATAGCAAAGGAAAGGGAAAACACAACCAGAGGATCCCAAATTTAGCAGTGGTGCTACTGAGCACTAGAGTAATTCCAAGCCCTCATGTCTGGATTACACAAAAGCTATTTTCAATCCTCACTGTCTTGATGCAATTAGATCTGAATTGGCCACTAGACCATGCCTTCTGAAAAGAACACAGGTCACTAGCTATTGTTGAATGGCTGAAAAAACGTTTACACATAGTAAAAAGGCTGTACAAATTTGACTGACTGGAGTAGGGGTAGGCAACTAGATGCCCCCCCTGGATTTTGAACAGCCAAAAGCCATAGTCAGCCTGACCATGCCAAGAAACTTTGTAGTCTAGTCTACATATAAGGAGGGCACCTAGTTGCATACTCCTGAATTAGAAAGACTCACTGTATTAGTGTGTTTCAAACTTGGCAACTTTAAGACATGTGGACTTCAACTCCTAGAATTCTGGGACTTGAAATCCACACATCTTAAAGTTGCTGAGGTTGAGAAACACTGCCCTATATGTTCCCCAGCCTGGTGCTCTCCATTATCCTGGTCAGTATGGCTATGCAAAACTGGACTCCTGGTAGTTAATAGCCCCAACTCTTTGGAGTTCACTAGGTCAGGAAATGGTGAGCAAGATTTAAACAGACAAACATAAAAGACTTTAAAGCCAGTGAATAGCTTCTATAGTTAACTAAGAGGGACTTTTATCCTTCCTGTTCCCTTAGGTAAGTGCAAATTAGGTTGTTCTGGCCTGCAATTGTCTTGCAAAATATTTCATTATTATGCCATCTAATCTCCCAGTTGGGTTGTTAAGTAGGACAACACTGACCAATTTTATTTTCAGGGGTTCCCTGCCAATAAGGACAATGCTGATAGAAATGATACTATGAGCAACATGAGCTCCCAAAAGTACAAAATGAGGTAGAGACAATGAGGACTTAATCCCAAAGCTGCAGATATGAACTTAAAGCAGCCTTCTCACACCCACTTCCCTTATGATGTGCTGGACTCCCATTCCCATAATTCCCAACAAGCAGCCTTTTGGCCATCCTGGCTGGGAGTTACAGGAGTTGAAACCCACATGTCAGATAGCTGAAGTACTATGCTGAAAAGGCAGCTTAAAGCTTGGGTTCCCAGATACCGATCTGCTTGCAGACTGTTCTCTTTGTACCTGCAAATCTCCTTGCCTCAGCCAGTTATTTTTTATACTATTTTAATTAAACTATATAAATTGGGTGCTAACATGCTGCAAAGCAGTGTGCCAGCCTCAAACATAATTTGTTTCCAACAATGCAGCACTACCCCACACAGAACTCAGAGGATTTTTTAGAAAATTTTTAAAAAGGGGGTGGGGGGAGTACAGCACAGCCCTTTGTTTGGAAGAGGGTCCATGTGCTCAGAAAAAAACCCAAACAAGCAGGGTAAGCTAAAGTAATAGAGAGAAATTGTAGAGGGAAGAATTGCTGGTGGAAAGCAACCTCACCAGTTTGCCCTCTGGAAAACAGGTATTTAGCCATACGCACCACAGCAGCCATTTTGAGTGTATCCTTGACATGCACTCAACATTCCAAGTATACTGACTGGCCTAAAAACGTTTTGAGCTTGCCTTAAGGAAGGGGTTCTTAACTTGAGTTCCACCAACCCTTTAGGGAGGCCATGAACCTGGATGGGAAAAAAAATTACAACTTTATTTTCACTATCTCTCACTGAAATTTAGCTTTTCATTCAAACACTTGAATGAAAAGCTACATGAATTTGTTTATGTAGGCAACAGAGAAACATATGGACTCC